GCATATATGACTTTTCATGTCTGTTAGTGTTTATCCTCCCAGCCCAGAGGAAGGGGCTTTCGGGCCGCTGTTCCATCACTCACAGTGTAGAGGAGGTGAGCCGTGTGGATACTAACAGCACCCACTCCCCCCATCGAAATGAGAAGACACAAAACAAGACTCAAAACCAGACTTCCAGATCACCTACAGCAACCCCAAAGGGAAATGAGATGGAACACTGATACTCAAGCACCTGGATTCCCTGAACTGGCAACAAAAGAGGATCTGGAAATAATGAAATCAGAAATAATTTCTCAGATAACAGCAGAGATTGTGCCCATAGTGCAAGACATGATTAATAAATCTAGAGAGGACACAGATAAACAAATAGGGGAGCTGAGGACCATGATGGAATCCCAATATAGGCAACAAATGGAATCCATAAAACAGATACAAACATTTCCAGGAGATTACAAACTCCATTGAAAGTCTACACAGCAGGATGAGCCAATGTGAGGACAAAATTTGAGATATAGAAGCTAAGATTGCAATTAGTGACCAGGAAAAGAAAAATTGCTTCAAAATTGTAAAGGACCATGAGAAGTCAATCCAGCAGCTGCTAGATGATGCACAGAAGAATAACATAAGATTGATTGGAGTCAACAAAGAAACAGGAGAGATTGCAGATGACATAAAAAAAAACTGTTCACAGAAGTGATGGCAGAAAACATCCCAAGCAGGGGAAAAGGCTTGACATGTGGATCAGTGAGGTATATAAGACTCCAACTAGCCTTGATCAAAATAAATCTACACATAGGCATATAATTGTTAAGATTCCAGAAACCCAACAGAAGAACAAAGTTCTACCAGCAGTTAGAGAAAAGAAACAAATCACATACAAAGGAAAACCCATCAGAATCACAGCAGACTTCTCAACAAAAACCCTCAAGGCAAGAAGAGCTTGGAGTGACACATTTCAAGTCCTAAAGGAAAACAGCCTCCAACTCAGATTGATGTACCCTACAAAACTATCTTTCAAAATTGATGGAGAAATAAGATACTTTCATGCCAAGGAGCACCTTAGGCACTTCATGAATATCAAACCAGCACTCCAAACAATTTTAGATAATATCCTGGGAACAGACAATGAGGATCACAACCCCAGGAAGCACAGCAGAATGAATCCATCAGGTACGACAAGAAATTAAATGTAAAGTGGAAGAATCCAACAAAATGAAAAAGTCATGACAATGATAAGTCAATGCGTTTCAGTTATAACCATCAATGTTAATGGTCTCAATTCACCAAGCAAAAGAAATAGACTGGCAGAATGGGTCAAGAAGCAAAATCCAACAATATGCTCCATACAAGAAACACACTTAATTAAAAAAAAAACTCATAGATTGAAAGTTAAAGGATGAAAAACAATACTCCATGCGACAAGAACCCGAAAAAAAGCAGGAGTATCTATTGTCTTTGTAGATCAAGTGGATTTCAAACCAACACTGATTAAGAGAGACAAGGAAGGACACTATATCCTTGTAAAGGGAAAAATCCAACAGGAAGAGATGACAATCATAAATATCTATGCACCAAACACTAGTGTGCCCAACCATATAGATTTCTGGAATCTTGACTATTACATGCCTTGGTGTAGGTTTTTTTTATATCATTGCTAATTGGAGTTCTATGTGCCTCACTTATCTGTATGTCAAATTCCTTTTCTGTTTGCGAAGTTTTCTGCCATTACTTCTGTGAACTGATTTTTTAAAATATCATTTGTGCTATCTTCTGCCTTTTCATTGACTTTGATCAATCTTATGTTATTCTTTTTTGCATAATCTAGCAGCTTCTGGATTGATTTCTTGTGGTTCCTGGCTATTTTTAAGAGTTCATTCTTTTCTTGATCTCTAACTGTAATCCTGTCTTCTATATCTGATATTCTGTCCTCACATTGGATCAACCTGCTATATATACTTTCAATGAATTTTTTTTTTTGGTACCAGGGATCAAACTTGGTACCTTGCACTTGGGAAGCAGGCAGCAGCACCTCTGAGCTAAATCCCCAGCCCTTTTTCAATGAAATTTTTAATCTCCTTTATATCTATTTGAATGTATCCATGTATTCCATTGAAATATTGAATGTTTCATGTATTCCATTTCTTTCCTATGCTGGGCCTTCATGGTTTCCAACTTTTTCCTAAGCTCCTCTATTTTTTTAATCTGTATCTGCTGTAGAGTCACTAAACATGTCTTTCATTATAGTCACCATCTCTGTAGTTATCTAAGTAATTATTTCTGCTTTGATTTTTTTTCTAGAGCCTTGTTCATCTCCTTTGTTACTTCCATTGTTACTACTTCAGAGAATCCACGTGGATGACTTTTGGATTTTTCCACCTCACTCCCCCCTTGGCTTGCCTTTGGTGAGCTGAAAGTCTGGAGTTTCATCCAGTTTAAGTGCCTTCTCGTTTTCTATTTTCTTTTTTGTTTAATTCTTGGATTGATGCTTATAATTTCTTATGGCAAGTAGCTTTATTGCTAGTGTTTAGAGCCCTTAGGAAATGACTACTTCTCAGAGGTGTCTTGCAAGTATAGCTGGCTTTTGGGTTTTGAGTCTGTTGCAAGATCCTGCCTCTTCACTTTACTGGGGATGAGAATTTGCTGCCAACTTGGTTGAGCCCCTGGTTCTTTGGCACTGGTCCATAGTATTTTTATGTCCCTTAGGAAATACTAGTAAGAACAACTGATTAGCACAATTATGTCACTTAGGCTAAAATAGTACAATCAGCAATAATGGTAACTATTAATTTGTCACCTTTAACCATATGAACTAGATTTGTGGTTATATAATAAAATCTAAAAGGAACCAGAAAATTGTATGCAGTAATTAAGCCCTCAATATGGTAATTTTACCCTCAGGGGAGAAATTTAAAGGGAATTCAGGGGTTAAAATAGAGAAATAGAAAAAGAGGAAGAGATTAGAAGCAAGCCTGGAGGACAAAGGAAGATCATACAAACTTTGGGAAACTGGTGAAGAAGACAAGAGGGAAAGAGAGAGGGAAGAAATAAAAAGAACAGAACAGAACAACAACAAATAAACTGGAAACCATGTTCACACTCATATAAAAACAACAAACAAAAAACGAAAGAAAAACAAAAAAGAAAAGAGAGACAGAAAAAAGAAGAAAATGAGGAAAAAAAACACCCACTGCAAGGCATGTCTCTGCTGTCACTGGTAGCCAATGTGGGAAGGCAGAGTACAGATCCAAGTTGATTAATCCCACTAAGCCAGCCTTATTGTTATGGCTGCAACGTTAGTTCCATTGAAGTTCAGCCTGATTTCTGGCTGTGAGGCTAGAATTGGATTTGTTGAGCCTGCTACAGTCAGTGTGTCTCCTGCCATCTTGAACTTGGCACCTCAGTATGACACTGGGAGCCACCGGATGGAGCTGACCAAGAGCTGTTCTGAGTTCTGAGGTCAGTTGGCTTCTCTCCAAGATGGTCACCGGCCAATCACCCTTTCCTAGGAGACATCTGAACCTGAATAACTTAGCAGTCACTGCAGTCCACTGCATCCACTGCTCAGTTCCACTGATTCATTTCTCCATGGAGGCCTCTGGCGTTGCCAGTTGTTGCCATGCATCTGCAGGTTTGAACCGCCTCATTCGCGAGCAGTGAGTCTGGGCTCAGGGAGAAAATGCTACTTGCCACCTCCTTTTTCTTTGTCGAAGTCTCTCTCTTTACTCTCCCGACGGGCTTCAATTCTTACTTCAGGTCATTCCTGGCTCCTGGGAACCCACTTCCATCCTTCCGTTCCTCACTGTTATATTCCAATGTCTGGACACCAAATCTTGGAGAGGTTCTTTCTCTGCTGCTTACCACTCTGGCATCTTCCTGGAAGTCCCCCATAGCTTCTCATTTTTGTCTGCATGGACAATTACTCTTTTTGCAGTAAAAACATAACTAGATAGCTTATGTAACTTTCTGTTTTTCCTACTGTCCCTACACCCTTCCTTCCTTATCTGCTGCCTTCTCTCTTGTTTCCTTCAATAAAGTAATTCCCTTTTTTTGAATGAATGTTGAAATCTTTTTTCCCCTCCAATCTAAGATATCAGTAGATTTCCTTCAGCTGAGAAAGTGAAAATTGCCTTTAAATTTATATACAAATGGTTTGTAATGTCCTAACCTAGGTGCTGGCTGTAAGTCATAACTCCTGCCATCTTGGTATGCCCTGAGACAGGTGGCACTAGGGCAGGGCTGTCAGGACGGTCCCTTTGGGATTAGGAAGGCTGGCCTCACATCTTGGGCTCCATTAAAAATTTACCTTCAGCAGGACCCCTCTGAGTCCCTATTTCTGCAGCTGGATCAGGTGACCCTCAGATTTTCAGACTGCATGTAATCAGCCCAGGGACTTAGGGTTTGAAGAAATTGCTTAAGAACACTTGAGATGCAGTGAAACACTTAGCTTTGCCACTGTGCTTAGCTGACCAGATCATCCCAGTTTTCCCAGGATTCTTACAGTGTTAGCACACTGGAAGTCCTGTGTCCTGGGCACTCCTTGGGTCTTGAGAAAAGAAGGACAGTTGGCCACCTTAACTGTACAATGTAGGCCAACACTATGGTGTTGGCAATGTGAAGAGAGTAGGAAAACTGCAGTCATAGTTTCTAGCCAATCTTGAAGGAAATGGTGTTTGTAACATAAATATAACACCCTTTTAGTGAAATGTAATTTTCAATACAAATTTAGGGGCTGAGGTTATAACACAGTGACAGAGGCCTTGCTTGAAGTGCATGAGGCCCTGGGTTCATTCTGCCCAGCACTGCAAAAACAAAGTCACTAGCACCAGTTGTCCTGAAGGACCTGCCCTCAAAATTGCTGCAACATTGTTCTCTTCTTTCAGGAATGATCAGACTTCCCGTGGCAGCTGCTCAGCTCAGGAACCTGAGGAGGAAGGAAATGTCCTGGGCTCATCTCACTTTGGATCATCTTCATTCATGTGTGCAATTTTAACTTTCCACAGAGAAAAGGCAAACCTGGCTATTACCCTGTGCAATGACAGGGAGGAGATCATGGCCCACGCCACCTTCTTGGACTATCCCAACTGGAACGTGGCCACGCCAGAGGCCTGGGAATCAGTGTTCCGGGAGCTTGATGTTGACATCCCCTGCACGGTAAGGAGTCACACATGTAGTGAGTGTCACAGAGTGGCATGTGCGCAGAAGGGCAGGCCTAGGTTTGCAAGGCTGCCTTCTCAGTTTTTGGTCTGAGAAGTCCAAATTCACAAGTGATGACATCATGATGGTTAAAACCGAGGGAGCTGGTGGGGAGAAAAGGAGAGCGGAGCTCAGAGGCCAGAGGACACAAGACAGGTTGCCAGCTGCTGCCAAAGCCCTACTCCTGCTTGTGGTCGGTGGAAGTGTCGCAATATGCTTCTAAGGCTCACATTGTTCTCTGTATATTGTGCCTGATGTCTTTGACCTGCTTCAAGGGCCCTGTCACCTGCACACTGACCCTTGTAATGATGACAGCAGAGTGTCACACTTAAGTCACACTATCATTTTCAAAATGCCCTCGTGGCCTATGGCTCATTTGATGTCTTTTAGCTGTGGGGCCATGACAGGGGATTAAGAAGTGGTGTCCAGCCCCAAGTCCAAGCTTTCTCTAAGTCAGCCTGATATGGACCTTCCCCGCTGCAGAGCTGGAGCTTGCACTGAAAGCCCTAGCCTTTTAGTCACCCACCAGCACGCCCCCCAATCCCTGATGTCAGAAAAGAGGAAATACTGAGGGGTGCATAACTCAGGTTCCCCTACCTACATGTTTGTGTATACATGCCCCTGAGCCAAGTGTTTGCTTTTAATTCAAGTGGGAAGTACTTGCCTGGTCATTGTGCCTCCTCTACCCCTACCATGCTATAGCCCTAAGTAGCACTGCCAGAAAAAATGATGCCAAACTCAGTAGACCGGGAGGATTTTTCTGTCCATGGTGTGCACCTTTGATTGACCAAGCTGTTTTACAGTTCTGTAGGAATGGCAACTAACTTATAGACTTTTGTCCATCTGAGATGTAAATAATTCATTCCTGTCTGGTGAAAGTGCTAATCTCAAAGGTTCTATCTATGGATTGTAGTACATTAACTATTTTGTGTGTAAGCCCACAGTCCTATTCTTATATTTCCTCGTCAAACTCCCTGAAGTATCTGTTCCCTTAGGTGTAAGGAATCTGTTTTATCATCTCATCAGTTGCTTCATTAATTGATGAGTTAAATAAATTTCTGATTTGTGTTGATTATTTGTGTTTGGGTCATAATTTTACCATTTGAAAATTAATAAATTAGAACCCTTTTTTCCTTTTGTTTGTTTGCTTGTTCTCTTAAGATTGTTTCCTTTTAAACTCTTCCTACCCAGTCTGGAGTTGGGCTGTCCAGTAGAGTAGACATCAGTCACAGGTAGCCATTGAGGACTTGAAATTAGCTAGTTTGGGTTGAGATATGTTATAAATATATAATATACACTGAATTTCAAGTTCTTAGTAGTAAAGAAGGGTAGAAAATATCTTGTTAATTTTATGCTGATTGCTTGTTAAAATGATAAATTGAATATATTAGTTTAAACAAAATATTATATAAAAATTAAATTTATTATCCTTGTACTAGAAAATTTAAAGTTGCATTTGTGGCTTTCATTTATACCTTATGTTATTTTTCTTTCAGAAAGCATGGGTATAGAGCCTGTGTTGGTTACTTTTATTGTTGCTGAGACAAAATACCTGACACCCAAAGTTAAAGGAAGAAAGGTTCATTTAGCTTATACTTTACAGAGGTTTCAGTACATAGTTGGCTGGCTCCAAGGCAGGGTGGCATGGCAGGAAGTCATTGCAGAGGAGAAAGTTTTGGGCAGGTAGGCCGAAAGTGAGGTAGTGAAGCAACAAGTGACAAGTGACCCCAGCAGCTCTTTTTCTGTCCCTTTTATTCTATCCGGGCTACCCACCCTAGCACTCACACCCAGGGAGGGCCTTCCCATTATCCATTCCAAAGAACTATGCCAAACCAATCAATGAGCTAATTTAGTACTCACACACACCCTTGATCCCAGCCTCACACACTTAGTCCCAGCATCACACACCCTTGATCCAGTCACCTTTAAAAGCCCCTCCTCTGACCACATGCAGCTCTGGGGGGACATCTAGACACAAGCCATAACAGAGCCTTAAGTTTTAATGTGTTTTCTATCCTAGGGGAATTTACAAGTGAAGTAATGATTTTTATTCTAAAGCTATTTAAAGAGTAAATCTTTAACTTTTGATCCTCCTGCCTCAGCCTCCCAGAGTGGTAAGATTATAGACGAGCATTACCACACCATCTTAATTATAGTATTTCTGCTGGAAAGGAGAATTTGGGAAATGAGCATGTAATCACTGTGTGCTCCTAAGACCAGTCCTATTGAGAATGTAAAGCAGGTGTAGAGGAAGGTTGTGGTGGGATTATTTGGTTAATACACAGAAAGTGCTTCAGGTCCTACCCTTGTTGTTATTATTATTTGGGCTTGGGAGTTTGTGCTGTTGGCCTTTTGGAAGTTTTCATTCTCCTCTTGCCATATTATGCCCATTAAAATTCCTTCTGAGTGCAGCTAAGCCACACTATCCAAGTGGAATGGATGAGGCACACAGATGTGTGACAGTAACCCAAGGCCACCTGGAAAACATAGCTGCCTCTTGTTTATCTAGCTTCTTTCTTCATCCCAGGCCCCCAAATTCAAATACCTTCAGATGTAAAATAGTTTTAAAAATTGCATCTGAGCTGAACATGCACAAACGTTTTTCCTTGTTATTGTTCTCTAAACAACATGGTCTAGCAACTGTTTAGGTAGCATTGTGTTGGATTAGGATTATAAGTAATCTGGAGGATGAGTAGGTTGTGTACAAACACTGAGATCTTCAGAGGTCTGGGAATCAGTCCCCACCATGCCTAGGGACAACAGTACTCAGGAAACAAGAAACACACATGCATGCACATGTGTGTATACACACACACACACACACACACACATACACACACACACACACACAGCTCCTGCTGTCCCACTCTTGCCAGTCAGCGGCTTCCCATTTGCACCATTTCTACTATTGGAAGAATTGCTCATAAACACAGGTGACTGATATGTGCCTGTATAGAATGACTACTCATTATTCAGGTGGGCTTCAAAAGATATAGGATGAAGCGCTTTAAAAACTTGGGTATAGCCAGGCATGGTGACACATGCCTATGATCCCAGCACTGGGGAGGCAGAGACAGGAGGATCACCATGAGTTCGAGGCCAGCCTGGGCTACATAGTGAGTACAGGGCCAGATTGAACTACAAAGTGAGACCCTGTCTTAAAAACAAAAACAAAAACACACAAACACAAAACAACAAAAAAACTTGGGCATCAAGCCCAAAAGTCATAGTAGAATCTTACTACCCTTAGTTTTCAGCTCCCAGGTTTTCTGGATCCCAAGAGTAGTATTTGATTCTGTCTCCCGGAATGTTGAACAAAGCAAGCCTTTGGATTCTGACTGCAGCATCTGCCTCCCTTCCTTCAGTTTCAGCAGAGCTTCTCCCCATGGTGTCCTGTGAACAGAGTGGCAGCTGCTGCCCCGGGAGCCCCAGGGAAGGGGTGATTGTCTTGCTTGGCATGGATACCCCTGAAGACTGGACTGGGAGCCAATAATTGATGCCACCGCCCCACAGGCTCTACCAGCCACAGCCATCCACTGGGGCAGGAGGAAGGGCCAGCACTCTGGACCCATTTATAGTCCCTGTTCCCTTGAATAATTCTGAGCCAGGAGTGCAAAAGGCAGCAAAGGAGCTGGTGACAGGACTCCAAAGCCACTTGGTGTCTCGGCACATAGACATAAAATGTCATCTCCCAGTGCTGGGCAGCTCTGTGTCTGTGGCTGCCCACACTCCTCCTCTGACCTGGCCTGAATGCTGACCCAGCCTTCAGCTGGTCTCCTTTTCCCCTGCAGCCCCTGAATACGCTGTTCCTGCACCTCTTTGTGGCCGTGGATGAGTATTCTGTTGGCTGCTGCAAAGAGATTATTCGGTGAGTGCTTGAGGCCTTGCAGACAGCAAACACCACAGAGGCCTCTGTATGGACAGTTTGTTTGTTTGTTTTTTGTGGTACTGGGGATCAAACTCAGGACCTTGGGCTTGCGAAGCAGGTACAGTGGCACTGAGCTAAATCCCCAGCCCATGGAAAGTTTTGAAATATTTTTTAATTGCCATGAAATTCTTTAGGGAATTTCATTTACTGTAGCTCAGGGCTGTACAAAAACTTTCACTTAAATAGCAGTGATGATTCTAGAAGAAAATAAGTGAATTATTAGAATCCACTGTGTATCTTTCTCCCTAGCCGGGTTTATTACCAGACAGGCCCCAGAAACACCCTGGGCTACAGGGAACCCAGATAGATGATCAGCAAGGCCACCGCGTCATGGCCACAGGTCTCTGACAGCCTGCACAGACCTTGGGGCAGGAATCAGCTTTCAAGTCACTTAGAAATGTCACACCACAGACAGTCCAGATGCCGGGTCAAAGGTTAATATCAGTAGAAATCTGGTGTGCCGCCTGGGCCCATGCCTTTTATTCTCCCCACCTCCACGGGCCAGACAGGAAGGGGCCCTTTGGAGTCCAAGGGGAGCAGAGGAGAACAAGAAGCTCTTGTGGATTTCTGGACACCTGCTTTCCTCAGTGGTGGCATTTGTCTCTCTGAGGTGTGGGCTGCTGAGATGGCTTTGTTATTCACACCTGACCTGTTCTCTCCCCACCCCCAGGACAGTGTTTAAGGTGGTGCCAGAGCTGCACTTCATCTTTCTCATAGTGCCATCCTACATGAGCCTAGGTAAGTCCCCTGCTACCTCCTGCCCCGACCCTGGGCAGGGGCTCTTGGGGTGGGAAGAAGGTTGGCCTCCAGGTCCCGAGGGTCCCCGCACACACTTATTTATAACCACTGCAACACGAGTTAGAAGTGAGACTGCATCTTGTTTGAAGCCTCAGAGTTATTCCTTGATAAAATGAAGACACATCACTCTCTTCCTGTGGCTTAGGCTCGACTCTCGTCACTGTTTTTAATGAAGTGGGGAGCTTGCCGTATCTGATGTATGATGAGGACTTCACAGTGTACGTGTGTCACAGGCACAGCCACTACCCTCAGCTGCACATTCGCAGAGCCAGGTATGGTCAAAGGAGCAATTGATGTGAACTAGCTTCCCGGGACCATCACCTTTGTAAGAGGTGGCATGTGCCGTAGTTGCCAACTCTGGGAGGCTGAGGGAGGAAGATCACAAGTCCTAGCCCAGCCTTGGCAGCTTAGCATCTTAGTGAGACCTTGTCTCAAAATTAGAAATAAAGTAAAACAGGGCTGGGGATTTAGCTCAGTGGTTCTGCCACCTGCCTTGCAAGCGCAAGGTCCTGAGTTCCATCCCTGGTACAAAAAAAAATAAAAGAAAGTAAAACAAAGGCTAGGAATATAGCTCAGTGCAAAGGCCCTGGGTTTAGTCCCCAGTAGTGAAACCAGTCTTTACCTTCCCTTTCCTTTGTTTTGGTGACAAAGGAGATGCTTAGTGTCCCCCTTGCAGATATAATTTGCAGGACTGTCTACTATTCTTATTTGGTTTTGTGTGGCGTAAAGTGACATATTTACTGCTAGGGGGTTCTGAAAACATGCAATCCTAGGTCTCATACCAAGTGAAAAAACCTTCGAATAAAACAAACTTAAAAATGACTGTTTGATTTTGCCAGAAAATCCATCTATGTCCTGATAGTGAATGAGGAGGCTACTGACCCCAAAAAGGAGTTTTCTAAGCTAAAGGTCTCAGCACCCCCACATACCCCCCAACATGCAGCAGTCTTGGGGAGTGGTGGCAAATTGTGTTTTCCAAAGACGGCCCACCCTCCCCAACCCTGCAAGCTCCCCTGAGTTGTGACAGCACCACTGCTCACATCAGTGGCAGGGTATGCTGTCTCCCTGTGTGAATCCATGCAGATTGTGACTGCATTGACCAGCAGAGCTTGGCAGAAGGAATGCTCTGGGGTTTGCAGAGCTGAGAAACTTCTGCTGGTTCTACTGGGAAGCTCACCCTGGTCAGACTGCCCTGAGATGACCACGTTGTCACTGAGTGCTTTAGGGGTCAGCAGCCCCGGTATTGACTGCCGGCTTTGAGGGTGAGCTGTGGTGGACATCTAGCCCAGGTGACATCTGAGTGCAGTCCCAGTGGGAAGGCTCAAGTGTGTACCGCCCAGCCAACCCCAGGTGGCCTCTGACTCATAGAATCTTGAGCAAAATATAATAGCTGCTTTGAAGCTGTGCATCATAAAATGACTTCACAAGGACGGTTGCTTACTTATTGGCCAAGAATAAACTGTTGTCATGGATCAACCATTGCCGTATTTGTTGAGTACTGAATTTCTTTAGAAAAGTACTAATTTACATTTTAAAAAACCGAGAGCCTATTATTTACTAGGCATTCAGTATTACAGTTGTTAAGAGTTTAGGGTGGTGGCATCAGATAGATTCCAATCTTGGTTCTATTGTTCCCTGGAAGGGTTAACCGGCTGCTGTAGGGTTCAGGTTCCTCTCTGTCAGGAGTGTAAGCGTGGGACTGTGGGGATGATCAGTGAGCTAATTAAAGTCTAGCACTTAGTGCCTTTTCTGCCAAACTTAAGAGTCTAAGAATAAAAATATATAGTCACAACAGGGTTTAAGGGTAAGTGGGAGAGGAGATAAACTGTAATGCTCTGTAGTTTAGAAGAGGCAAGGACAGAGAGAGATGAAGACAGCCCCATTACAACCTCTTTCCATAAAAAACCTTGTAAATAAATGTCCGTATTAGTCATCTTTCTGGTGCTGGGACAAAATATCTCCCAAAGACAATTTCCCCAATTTGGAGGAGGAGAGGTTTATTTTGGCTGATTGTTTCAGAAGTTTCAGTCCATGGTTAGCAGGCTCCAAAGCAAAAACATGGTGGAAGGGTCTGGCAAAGGAAAGCTGCTCACCTCATGGCATCCAGGAAGCAGAGAGACAGGGAAAGAGCCCAAGCAAAGATACCTTCTTCAAAGACACGTCTCTGGTGATCCGCCGCCTGCAGCTAGCCCCACCTCATTGCCCATGCAGCTATGAACTCATCAAAGGATTAATACACTGATGAAATTAGTGCCCTCCTTATCCAGTAATCCCTCTAGGCCCCACATCTGAAGTGTGCTGTGTTGGGATCAAGCCCTCTGTCTGGAGGACAGTTTGTGTTTAAAGCATGACAGTGCCTCTCTATGAGTAAATGTTGTTTACGTTCACAAACTGGTCACTCTGCATTCAGCGGAATGACCTATCTACTTACACAGAAGTAACATAAATCAATCTGAGAAAGTTTATACTGAACAAAAGAAGGCAGACATCGAAACAAAACCATGCATTATTGATCCCACAGGGATGATGGATACAACAGGTGAAAGTAATCTGTGGAGACAGCAATCAGATCAGTGGTACCTGTGGAAGAAGAAAGTGAGTGACCGAGAGGGATGAGAGGGAACTCTGGGGTGATAGGGCATTCTGTGTCTTGATGGGGGGGTGTGCAGCTGTCCATGTCATCAAACTGCACTTGTGAGTTCTGTGTACTTTCTTACATGTTATTATACTTCAATGAAGAAGATACTTGAAGAGGAAAAAGGGTTTGTAGAAGAAGTGGGTTCTGAATTTGGTCTGGAAGGAGGAATCAGACAGGGGAGAAAAGAGGTAAAGATGTTGCCACAGAGGCCCTGGCATGACCATTAGCAGGCAGGTACAGCTGCCCTTCCTGTTGCTGGGTACAGAGGCAGAACTGGAAGCCAAGGGTCCACTGTGTGTTTGCAAGGGCACCCTGGATTTCTTGTGGCCCATGGCTTATGAAGGAGGGGGATGGAGGAGTCTGGTCTGGAGATGATTCTGGCTGGAATCTGGACAGCAACAGGTCCCAGAGATGCAGGTGGGAAAAGGACTGGAGCAGGTGGGTAGATGCAGAGAGATTTTTTGGAGGGAAAGTGCATGTGGCTACCAGTTGGATGGAGAGGTTGAAGGATGAGAATGAATTACTGGTAATTTAAGATTTTCAAGATTAGGAGGAATGGTGATTTCATCAGCTGAAAGTAGAAATGACAGAATTCAAATGACAGGAGAATAGGAAATAGAAATTGAGAGAAAAGCCAGGTTAAAAATACACATTCATGAGTTGTCAGTTTATAGGTCAATGGGGAGGTAATAAAAATGAAGATTATCTTATTGAGAGTTGACAGAGATTTAAAAGTGAACAAGCCATGGATCAGGGCAGAATTCTGAGAGGATAGGGGGCTGTGAGTAATGAGAAAGAAAGCTGGAGGAGAAGGAGAGGAGTATGAGAGATGTCAAAGGCTGAAAGCAGAAAAAAGCGCAGGGAAATGAAACTGGAGTATGAAAGGAACCCATTAGATTTGGCAATATAAAAAGCTGCAGATGAGATAAAATTGATTGTGCCAAACGGACCAATAAAAAGAGGAATGGAAGAGATTGTCACCACAGATCACCCAGACTGTAGAAGGATAGTAAGGGATACTACAAACACCTCTACATGAGTAAGTCTAAAAAGTTAGATAAAATCCATTAACTCCTGGAGCAACACACTACCAAAACTTACTTAGGAAAAAATAGATAACATGAGTGCTTCTATGTCTGTTAAAGAAAATTCAGATGAGCTGTGGGTGGGAGGAGGAGAGTGGCTGCTGGCCTGGATGCTTCCTGCCTAAGTGACTTCTCCTCTCGTCCTCACAGCCCTACACTCTGCCTTCCCCAGGACTTGGGACTGAGTTTCCTCACAGGCCTAACCCTCAGGCTCCTCTGTGCCAGCCTTGGCTGCTCAGGCATCAGTGCCCTCCCCCTGGCCCCTTGGGCAGAGCTGTGCAGGTCAAACTGTGGTGGGCTGAGTAAAAACAGTGTGAAGATGGGAAGAGTCACCACTCTTCAGACACTTGGCAGTGAAGAAAGCAGAGAAAATGACATGAAAGTCACCTGTGAATGCTCAGCGCTGTGCAAATAGTGTAACATGACTCCATCTTTACTGTCCGTGTAGAGCAGTGCATTTACATTCAGAGAGCCAGATAGCACGAGCCTCAGAAATCACCAAGGAGTACAGAAACTTCAGATGTAAATTATCTGCCTAATTAGACAGTTCCTCTTAGAAAACGATTTTTCTTTACTTTCTTTTTATTAACTGCTAAATAGATTATAATCCTCTCCTTATAAAAACCCTTTTGATCACCATACAAATTCTAATGCAAGCCAAAGACATTCTGAAGGAAATGAATTTTGTGAGCAAAAGAACATTTTTAATTTGCTCCCTCACACCTTTTTAAGCCTTCATCCTGATTTATGAAGTTTCTTTTATCAGTGCAATGGAGGCAGATATGCCCTCTGCCCTTCAGGAAAGTACATTGTTGAAAGGCTTTATTTTAAAAGTATTCACAAGCAGGCCGTCTTTTTTATCATGAGAACTCTGCATGAATTAATTAGGATCTTGTAAGTATCCAACAGTTACTAAACTTTCGCTTTAATTTCATTTTAAAATCTCCCCCCCTCACCATTTACTATTTATTTTGGGAGATGAGTTCATTAATAAAATAAATTAGATTCTTTTAAAATTTTGGGGGGGAGGATAAGTTCTTACTATGTAGTTCAGGCTGATTTTGAACTCAGACTTGCAGTGATCACTCCTGCCTCAGCCTTCCCAGTGCTAGGATTATAGTTGTCTGCCACCAAGCCCAGCAGTGAATTATCTTCTTAAATCAAAATATTTGAACAGTAAGTTTTCATCCATTCTGTGTGAGCACATCACTAGCCACACAGATGCAGCAACTATCGGTCCAAATGTCCACAGGTTCTATGTCCATGGGTTCAGCTAACCACAGATCAAAAATACTTGGGAAGAATTGCGTTTGTACTGAACATGTAGAGAATTTTTTCTCATATTCTTTAAATAATACAGTAGAACAACTCTTTATATAGTGTATAGATTGTATTGGGTGTTGTAAGTAATGCGGAGATGATCTGAAGTATACAGAAGGGTGTGAGTAGGCTAAGTGTAAATTCTGTGCCATTTACATAGGAGACTCGACCAGCCTCAGATTTCAGTATTTGTAGAGGGTCCTGGAAGCAGTCTAAACAGGGATGCTGA